TAGAGCTAAGTTCCTCTTATAAAGATTGTGTTAATAATAAATTAAGAAAGTATATTTAATGTATATAATAAGCTGCTCAAACTAATTTACCTATTTTCTTATTGCCTATTGGCTACCTACTTTAAATGTATTCTTTTTTCTTTATGATTATTATAATTATTACTTATTACATAAATAATAGATCTACATCTACCTACGATTTTATCAGAGAATTTTAACCTTCTCCTTCAAAATTCAGATTAATTTTAGGTGGGCACATTTATACCGATAGGGGCAAATATATTTTAGGGCAAGGGATGCTGTAGCATCCCAGCAGTGGCGGCGCCAGGAATTTTTCCCAGGGCGGGCCAAAGGGAGGCCAACATATATTTGGGCAGGCACAGTTGTTTGGACGTATGGTAGTTTAATCAACGGGGGGGGGGGTGACAGGGGACGGAGTGTCCTTTTTTGGAATACCCACCTTTGAATCTACATATATAAGTACCTATAAGTACTTTTGTAATAAAAATTGTTTATTTAATTTCTTAAGGTCTTTGACCTCCCCCCTTGAAAAATGGTAGTTGAGTTACAGTCTCAGTGACCAGGAGTTTTGGTGAGTTGGGTTATTTATTTATCAGATACTTATTTAAAAAGAAAAGTAAAATGAAATACATAAAACTGCAATCCTTTATATTTTCTTTATTAAATAAACAACATAAATACATAATATTATACATCTAAAAAATTTTGATTTCAAAGTTTATAATTGAATACATATTAATACATTAGCAAACCATAACTAGGTACATAATGAAATATAAAACAACTATTAAATACATATATTAAATAATATATTTTATGAATAGCAAGAATGAAAGATTAAGATAATAATAATTAATAGGAGAGTACCTACTCGACTAAATAACCAAAAATTGTGCAACGACGACAATAAAGGTTATTATAATAATTACTGTTCATTAGTCTCTAGCTGTTACATGCCCATTGCCCACATTACAGACTGATTGGACTTCGCCACTTCGGAGTGTGGGTAACGACAAGTCGACAACGACTAACGGGTAACGATGATTGTAATCTATTCCTTATGACTTATGAGTTATGACTAACAGTCATATTTCAGAATTATCTAAAATTAGATTTATACAATAATATTGTCGTAATCCCGTCCAAGCCGTTTCCGCGAACAACCGCACCAAATGTAAAACGTAAACAATCTATATTATATCCATGTATTATAGCTGTGTGTGATTTAGGAAAACCAGACCACGAAATTACAGGGATATGTTCTATTTACGTACTTAAAAATAATAATTTCAACTATTAAATTTAATCAAAATTTTTAGGCGGGCCAACGGGTGGGCCAGGGGTTTCTAAGGCGGGCCATGGCCCGCCCGGGCCCGCCTTTGGCGCCGCCACTGCATCCCAGCATCCCAGCCAGTCCGCGCCTGTATATAGTAGTACCTTGTTCAACTTCATTTGATATAATTGGTATTATATATAATGTATTTCGATCATGATTTTCAACTTTAAAAAAACGTCTCTTTAAAATGCCATCATGCTTACAACACAAACCAAAAATCCATGGCCCTTGAATTCGTTGTCCGTAATTTTGATTACTTATTACTTCGTCTTCATCTGAACTTTCTTCATTTTCATCAGAATTTTCTTCGGGTTTGCGGTCTCCAAAACGTAATCTTCCACGATTATATTTCCTTTTACCTTGGAACAAGGATTCATCTATTTGTACAACTGGGCTAGGACCTCCCATTTTTTTTTATGTTTTTGAAATTCAGCTACTGCTACGTCTACACATAAATTATACCAGTCAACTATAGTTGATCTTGATCTTTTCGTAAATACCCCGGCTTGTGTTACCTTTATTTGAAATACCCAATACCAAACAAGTTCTACGATATCGCACAAATTTAAACCACTGTTACACTTCCCATTTCTATCCATATGCGTAAAAAAGCTATTGTTTTTGCGTATGGAATAAAATGTTTGGCACCCTTTTTTTGTACATCGATTATAAATTGTTTTTAAAATATTACCTTCCGAATCACGTTTTCGACTATTTTTCAGAACTTTTTTTAACTCGCCACCACAAATTGTTTGGTTTTTAATTTTTGTACATGTTTGGTCGATTGGTAATAAACCGCGTATGCTTAAAAAATGTTCGCACATCTCTTCATTTTGAATTATGTGTCGATATAAATAACTCATAGTTGACAAACTCATAATACTAATTATTAAATAATAATAAATAAATCACAGTAAAATCACGTATAGGTATAATCGACACGACTCACAAACACACACTAAACAGGTATAATATAAAGATATACCTACTAACCTACCTAACTTACTAAGTTATAAATATAATATAATTTGGGGTTTCAATAAAAGCTTAATCTTAAATCTTAATTGTAAAATGATAAAGTACCTATACATAATATACAGCATACGGTCATACGGTAGATATCATACTAAACTATCATAAAATTACGGTAGATAAAATATTTACGGTAGATAGCATAATATTGGACGAGTACCCGAATAAAATAAAAAAACACACATCATTGTAAAATCAATACATTCATCGTTCCACACAGAATCTAAAACTGAAGTGATCAAAGGAATCTTGTTTTCTTCGTTTAAAAAGTTAAACATAAAATTAAATATTTAAATACCGTTGACCACGTTCTGTGTATTTTACTTTTCAGCTGATAGTTTGTTACCCGTATATCCATCTAGGTAGGTATGCGTATATAATTATTATATCAATGAAAAAAATATAATGTTATCATAATTATTTATGAATTATTTAATGTCTTGGTAAAGACATCTCTAGTAACCCAGAAAAGCCACGCCCTATAAAGATTATACTAAGCAACACACTAGAAGTTTACTTGTCTCTAAGATTACAAGCTAACTTACGTAAATCTACAACTTGGTCAAATATTCGGATTTCTTCAGTTCGTACAAATTTTCAACGTGAACAAATGAACAAACTTCGCCAAGAACTTCAAAAACATAAAGATGATGGTGAGAATAATATTATTATTAAATATATCAAAGGAACACCAAAAATTATTACTATCCAAAGAAAGTTTTAAATAATTCGGATTTTAATCTTCATGTTTATTATCAAAATGTTCGTAGCCTCAATAACAAAATTTCACATTTAAAATCTCAAGTTCCAAATTCTATTTATGACGTATTAATCTTCACTGAAACATGGATCACGAGTAATATTGAATCATATGAACTGGGCTTAACTGGTTATAATATATTTAGACATGACAGAAACTCCCAAACCAGCTCTCTACTAGAGGCAGTGGGGTTCTTATCGCTATCCGGAATACATATACAACCAATCCAATTATTATACGCAACAATCAAATTGAAGTTTTATTTGTAACGGTGAAACTACTGAAACTACCACTCATACTCTTATTATCAGTTCTGTATATATCTCTAATCGTTCTAATTTATCTGTTTATACCGAATACTTTGATTATGTTGAGGAAATACTTAATAAAAACCCCAAAGCTGATGTTTTATTACTTGGCGATTTCAATTTACCTTCAGCTTGTAGTAACGCAGACTCATTCTTTAATGATTAACTATCGTATTTGAACTTGTTTCAATACAATCATAATAGTAATGTAAATAATAGTATTCTTGATTATGTTTTATCTAACTCTCTATTTATTAATGTTATTGAAAATAATTGTCCTATTGTACCTGTTGATTTGTTTCATCCACCACTAACTGTATCATATACCTATAAATGTGTTTCTGATTTAGACTATTATGATTATAATTTTAATTTGAATGTTGCAGATTACACATCTATTATATCATATATAGGGTCTATTAACTGGTCCAATTTATTTAATTGTAAATTTAATATTAATGACAATTTAGACACCTTTTACTCTCATATTAATTATGTAATAACAAATTTTGTTCCAAAAGTCCGAAGACATAAGTTATCTTACCCTGTTTGGTTTAGTAAAGAACTAAAAATTTTAATTAAAAAAAAAAATATGCACACAATATCTTCAAAATCTTAAAAACACCCCCATCTTATTCTAATTTTTCAAATATTCGTAACAAATGTAAAACTGTTAGATATCGTGATTATAATTTATTTATTAATAAAACTCAAAGTTTAATTAAAATCAACCCTAAATTATTTTGGAACTTTTATAATTTGCAGAAATCTACTAAGTAGTTACCTGCTTCCTTGTCTTATAATAATGTTGAAGCTAATACCGGGATTGATATCGTTAACTTATTTAAGCAACACTTTTCTAATGTCTATGAATTAAATAATTCAATTAATTACGAAGTTATTAATAATTATAATATTTCTGGAAACTCTTCACTTTCTATTAATCAAATAAATATTCCTCTTATGGAGGTGTTTAATGAATTATGGTCCTTAAAACCTAATCACTCCTCAGGTCCTGATAATATTTCCCCCAAATTTCTTAAAGAAACAGCATTTATTTTGTCACCAATTATAACCTTTTTATTCAATAAAACATTAAAAATTATATATACTAACCAATATAACTTTCCCCGGTGATTGGTGTATATTAAAACGATACACTCGATACGGACGATTCAATAAATGAGTATCGGCATCTTCTTCACAGTTTGAAAATATAGAATATGGTCTCATAAGATTTATTTTAACATTATAATACGAAATGTAGTTCAAAACACGTGAGCTGTTGGATTTCTAAAACAGAAAAAGTTTTATAGTATAAAAATTAAAACTGAATAAGTAATTAGGTATTGAAAAAATAAATATTTACCGATTGTATCCTCCTCTTTGTCTAAAAACTGAAAAAGTATTTTCAATAACGTCAGATGTCAATCGATTTGTAAGAAGATAATTATATCCTAGTAGTTTTTGTTGGTTATATAACATTTCTATTGAATTTATCGTCCACAAAAGTCCATCAAAGCACGGAGGTCTCTCTTCTTGCCTATGTTTGGATTTTACTTTTTTTTAAATTTTCGAGCCAAGATTTTGTTTTAAGTAAAAACTCCAATTGTTGTGGACGCTCTTGGGATATTGCACATTTGAATGGATTTTTGTCAAACAGTGATTTACTATTCAAAACGTCTAATAAATTATTTAACTCTTTAACCATATCAAGAGTATTTACAGCAGTATTAGATTTCAGTTGTTTGGTCATAATGCAAGTTTCCATTGCAGCGGCCATCGAATTGCTGAAGAGCTGCATTGCCAATTTACATGACATTAACTGAAACGGGCCGGGGTTCATATGGCTATCCGTAATTTTTAAAAGGGATCTACTTGTTCCACTATTTTTATCTATTTCATACACGTCTCTAAGGTCTTTAAATGACGCTTCTTTTCCTTTGTAAATAAAATTGTTCGATTTAAAGTTGTTTCTTACATTTTTAAAAATATGAGGTACGTCGAAAATAGAAAAAATCTTTCGACCCTTTACCTCAACAAACGGTTTGTCTTTCGTCATTTTAAGGTCTTTGACAAGAGCAGCAACATTATTTTTACCCTGATCACAAATCATGGCGGTAACTATAAATCCACAGTCTAACAACTTTTCAATGACGTCCATGAGTAGGATACTTAAATCCGTGTGTTTTACCGATGTAGAAGTGAAAAAATACGAAATTGGTAACTTCTATGAAGCATATAAACCACGGATTAGAAAGACCATTGCTTGGCCATCTAATTTATTTGACCTCCCCAATGGACCCAAGTCTTCATAGCCTTCAACCAAATCAAGGTATTTAGAGTACTCTAAAAAATGTTTTATTTTCATTTCGTCAAAAACAAGGGTACAATAACGTTCTTTTTCGTCCATTGTATCTGCTTTCATTTTAAGTTGTTTGAAGACATTTGGATTAAACCCGGTTTTAAACTTTGAATTGCCGATCCATCGCCTAATAGTAGACTCAGCAGGTAGGTTGATATTTTTTGAATTTCGTAAAAATTTGTAAGTCGATGCAGATTTATAAAAAATGCTCAAAGCGAGATTTTTCTCGTCGCTAGCCCATTGTTTCGTAGTTTTATTTTTTCTTGAAACCTGCATTTTTACCAACATTTTGGATTCATTTGATGGGAAATTGAATGTGTTTAAGATATCGTAGTTTTTATATTTTGATTTGTATGTTGAAAGACTATTACGAAGTTTTGAAATGGATGACCGTTTATTTTTTAAATTTTTCCTTTGATTTTTTATACTTTCCAATTTGTCAACAATTTTAAATAATGATTTTTTTGAAGATGATCGTGGAGAATTGATTGGTGACTGAACACTAGGACTTGGTAAATTTCGTGTTGAATCGAGAAGTAATTTTGTCTTTGGAGTTAGGTCAGAAGTAAGACATGGCGACTTGTTATCTGTATTTTTGAATATTTTTTTTGGAGTCTGTATGTACAGTTCATCAAAATCATCACAGTTTTGTCGTTTTTTGTACCCGAGTGTTTGAATACTTTTTGGAAAAAAAGGATGTCCACCGTAAGTTTTAGTTGGTGTTAATACTTTAATGGATTGTGGTTCTTCATATTTTTTTAAATTTTTGGTCTTTTCATTAGTAATTTCATTATTCATAAAATGTTCCATACATAATCGTTTTTTGTACAAATCATCCGGAGTCAAATGTATTAAACTAATGTTTCTTGTATAAAAATAATTAATATGAGTAGTCTAAAACAAAAGATCATAGATACATAAAATGTTCACTGAATGTTTATATTTGAATTTTTTATGCAACATAACATTTTCAAAATATTTTGACTCATGTAAAACTATTTATAGGCATATGAAATTTTCGATTATTATTAATATTTTGATTTTACAATGATGTGTGTTATTAATTTTTTAATTTTAGATTCTGAGTGAAGCGAAAGAATGTATTGATTTTACAATGATGTGTTTCTTTTATTTATTTTTTATTTTTGTGTCTGTCATCACCTTTTAGGACAGTAAAAATGCTTCGATTTTCTTCAACAGTACCTTTTCTGATAGGAAAGTGAATCTAGTTGGTACTTTGGGGGGTCAAAAGTAACATTTTTTCAGTAGTTTTCATAAGAGCCGTGAAAAACAAATGAAAAATTAAGGAAAAAACAGTAATTTTTACCCAAACCAGATTTTCGACAAATTCGATTTTGGTTTTTGCTGTAATTCTAAAAAAAAAAAGTAGATCCATGAAATTTTGACTGAATATTTATATGAGCATTTTCTACACACCATACAATTTTCAAAATATTTTGACTTATTTTGAGCTGTTTACGGACATTTTCAGTTTCACATTTTGAACATTTTCTTTTTTAATTTTGAATCCAATTGGTCGACAATACCTTGTCGATGACGGTGCTCTATTTTTCCAAAATATTTTTTTGTTGTTTGCATTTGATTCGCACATTTGTAGTGGAACAATTGTACATAAAATTATATTTGAATCCGCATATTCTGAGTTATTTGCAAAATTTTGTTTATAAATACTATGTCCACCGCTGCCATCTATTCCCCATTTATAGTAAACTTCAATAGTATCACAGTCATCCGAAATGTTCTGGAGAATTACATTGGCCTGCACTTGTACCAGACGTTGTGTAGTATGTATAAAAAGATCTTTCAGTGGTACCACAGCTTCGTTTTCAGATATCTTAATATTTATAGGATAACATTTCCTCTTTGCTTCTTGTATCACATGATATGAGGGATAAATGTCCGCACCTCTTTCTTTTGCTCCGAGTCGCATCGTAATATAATTTTCTTTTGTTAATCCAAGATCAACCATAAGACCTAAGGCTTCTTCAGGGCTGTATGGTCTTATAGTAATAGAAGATGATTTATCATGCACCAATTTCATTTTTTTTAGTCTAGTGGGTGTAGTATCGATGGCTAATTTTAAAACTTGGGCTGCAGTTCTCCTCCCTGATTTCACCAAACTTGATCCTGCAGCTAAACACACTTGTTCTGAACTATGTTCCTATAAAATTGAATTTATTTGCCTTTGTTTACTGCGTTGAGAACTCTCTTCAAAAGATTTTTTTGGTCTGCCTCGGCTATTTTTCTCTGGACGTTTGGGCTCTGATAACGAAAGCTGTGATAGCTGTACCTCAGGGAGTTTCAAGTCATCATCAATCCATCTCATATGCTTGGTATTAAAACGATCATTCATATAAATACAAGCACGCCATTTTTTAAAAATCTTCGTGACAAATACTTTCACTACACATTTTATTTGCTTAGTACAATGTTCAGAAAGTTCAGTATCACCAAACTTGTCTATTATATAGTGCAATAAATGTTCATTACACTTATACGATGAAAAATTAAAAAACTGTTCATTTTGTAATAGTATAAATAGTACTCTTCTTTTGATTTTAATTTCCTTATCAGCGGAATTGCCACGACTACCTAAAAATAATGCCCTCAATATCAAAAAAGGGGAAACAAGTGGGCGTATATTTTACATTTTTATACTTGTTACGAGATATTGTTTTAAATATGTCAAAAAAAACAGTGGAACTCGATAGAACTTTTTTTATAACTCTAGTTTAAGTTGATATTTTAATATATTTGTTCAACAAAAATAATATTTCTTAAAATAATATTATACATATATAATGTACATATATTATGTTAACAATAATTATTTCATATTAAAGCACATACCTGAAGCTTCATTGTCCATATTGAAAAATTTGGTGATTTTAAATTTTAAAATGAACAAATCGAGTGTAATATTATGACAACAACGCACGTAGTAACTAATCCGTACTAGTCGTGCGTAAGAAACCAGACTTGAAGTACACGCACAGACTATTATGTCGCGATAACAAAATAAGTTATTATGGTACATTATGGACTAGTTTGTAGATAACGATTTAAAGGTATTTTTAATAACTATAAAGAAAATATATATTTCAATTTTTGTCGTTGTAATATAGTTAATTGGCCTTACGTGCCGCGGCCCGTAACATAAAACGTTATGTACGGCCATCCCTGCACCCACTGTACAGACACACAGTAACAGAAAAGACCTATAACTATAAACTAAAATGGACTGTGTATCCACTCCGCCCTGCAACCAATATTTTTTTTTTTTTAATTTTTAATTTTAAAATTTAATTTTTATTTTTGTGTCTGTCATCATCTTTTTGAACAGTAAAACTATGCTTCAATTTTCTTCAACAGTATATTGTTCTATGGGAAAGTGAATCTAGTTGGTGCGTAGGGTAGGTCAAAATAAAATTCTCAGTAATTTTCAAAAGCAACGGGAAAAACAAAAAAACAATTAAGGAAAACCGGGAATTTTTACGCAAAATCTTGTTTCTACAAAATTGATTTTGGTTTTTGGTGTAACTCTGAAACTTATGACCGTATATACATGCCATTCTCACTGGTTAGGTTATTTAAATCACTGTGTAAATCAAACTACTATAATATTACACTTAAAACATGGCCAACTGTAATAAAAAATAAAATATTTTAATAATTTAGTCAAAATTAAAAAAATAAGTATTAATCATTTCTATTGGGTAATTATTATTCTAATAATATTTATAAACTGTCTGGAATGATGTTTCAAAATATTTCAAGATCAAGCGAAAAATTTGATTGTTTTCGTAATATTACACATAATTGAAATTGTTGTTAAAGAATGACTTTATTTATTTGAAATTATTTGTATACCATACAATTGCATAGAGTATAATAAAACAGTAGGTACCTTTGCATTCTGTTAATAAGCAAAAACAAGGTTAGTGGAGGAATGGGGAATGGTAAATAGCCCTAGCAAAGTAATTATTAATGTGACTATTATACAAGGATTTTTGTTTTAGTTTCAAATAATAAATTATTTATTTACACTAAAAGTTTTGGAAATAATTTAAAATTTAAAAATATTAATTGAATCAAATGAATTAGTTATTTTATATTATTTTAGATAATATATTGTGTTATGTTTTGATAATTACAACTCTACATGACATTCTATTGGATATAGTTATTATAGTTTATCTAACACCTAAATAAATCCTTAAAACTTACCAATCGTAATAAAATAATCTGTAAAACTGGGCAAAACGAATAATATAACAATTGTTAATAGTCACGTGCATACGGTGTTAGTGAGTTGCGGCCCGATCCCTAAATAACATACGAATTGCGGCCCGTGTTTATGAAACAGACGTACGAGTTGCGGCCACATTTTACATTTTATTTATCACTTCATATCAGCCTATTAGCGTTACCCAAAAGACACCATGAGGAGGTTGGCTGAGTCGTCTCCCAAAAATTTGTTTTTTTTTTTTTAATTATGTAAAAATGGCAAAATGTATGGTAATTTATGGTAAAATTAATTTTAATATTTATGTAAAATATGTAAAAATGGCAAATATTCATATGACATATTTATTGGTTGGGCAAAAACTTAAAACTTAATGATTTGACGAAATCAAACTACTCTATTTCTTTTTGTGCTAGCTTTGTCATCTGTTGTCTTATAAATGCTTCTTTTTCACATATTTTCTTCGTTTTTATTCCATTGCTTCTACATTTGATATACGTTTGTGATTGAATTTATACGAACACATCAATAT